ATGAGAAGGTAGAGGTCATTTTTTGGTATTAACCCCCCATATCCTGAAGTTGCATTTTGTTTTGACTATTCAAAGTCAAGTCTTGTTAGACCTTTTAGGAAAAAGTTTGGTTAAATTCCTAATTTGGATCTTCAACTTTCATTTTGGAACCAAATCTACCCCTAAACTTTAAAAAGTACCAAAACTATTCTTAAATTTCAATTTTTGGAATCAATTTGGCCCTTTTATCAACAAAAGTGTCAAATGGCACATTAAATTGCCACGACATCAGTTCTTATGTTAAATCTTTAATGACGTGGAAAACAATTTACCCATTACATGCTATCATGGTATTTTTACTGTCTACGTTAGATACTCGCTACTTTCACTCTTCTCTTTAAATGGAGCCCACCTCAATATTTTTATTCCTATATTTTGTACGAGATTTTTTACTCCAATTTTCCTTCACTTTCCTATAAACTACTCAAAAAATTCATCCTGCCTAAAATTAATCCCAAACTTCACTACTTCAAACCATTAAACCTTCTGCAAACCCATTAAATTCAAATTTCAAAGAGGGCTAGTATGTCAAGAACTAATTTCTTTGAACTATCAACCTCGTTGAAAAACCTTCAAATTCAAATTTCAAAAAGCATAACCAATATGAGGAATTAAAAAACTATTACAACAAAATATGAGGAATAAAATATCAATGAAATTATCCTTCAAATTTCATAATATACTCAATGTTTTTCGCTAAGAAACTTCATTTTTTTTCCAAGAATTTTGAGTACAAAGAACAAACCCAAATCTGGAAATCAATTCAAAGCAAATCTTAGTCTCATCGGCCAAGCTTAGGGGGGGAGAACCTAATCACTTGAAAGATTAACTTAAGAAGTTTCCAAATTTTGGCCCACAAATCAATGGGCTTTTTATGGGATAGATCATTCATAGACCTTTACAATATTGAAGACTCTAAATTTGTGACAAAACCTATATGAAATAAAAATTGAAACTTGAAAATGATTTCTAAATTAATTTGTAGAAATTAGATAATATGGTTACTAAATTTTGTATTTTGGAAAAGAATGGTGATTTTTGAGAACCCAGATAAAAGTCTTAGAAGAACGAGAACCCAAAACCCCAATAAATTTTTGAGAAACCATATCCAGGTTCCTAAAAGATCAAGAACCTAGAACCCAAAACCCAAATAATAGAAGAAGAAAAAGAGGATGAGGAAGAAGAAGACAAGGAAGAAAAAGAGGAAGACGAAAATCTGCAACCTTTGACCTCATCAATAAAACCCACCATCATAGAATCTGCTATTCTTCTTCACCACTCCACACTCCAAGGTATTGCCCATATGCCAATCTCTTCGGCCACCCTTATCCAAGCCCAATCACCTATGAACTTGAATAAGAGAAGAAGAAATTGGTGAATGGGAAGAGAAATAGAAGAAAGAGAGAGGACGAAAGCAAAATTTGAGGAAGGAGAAGAGGTTAATTTTATAATTTTATTTTAGTTTAATGTATTAATTAATTAATTAAGGACATTAAATCATTCAATTTTCCATATTATCTACACATTCCACCTAAGATAATGAATTGATTTTGTGGCAAATGTGCCATTTATCACTTTTGTCGATGGAAGGACCAAATTGGTCCCAAAAATTGAAGTTCAAGGATAGTTTGGTACTTCTTAAAGTTCAAGGGTAGATTCAATTCAAAAATGAAAGTTGAGGGACCAAATCAAGTATTTAATTAAGAAGCTCTCCTAGCGTTTATTTCTTCTTCACTCACGATACTCAAACTTAAGATCTTACTTAAAACCAATCAAGCTTATTTCATTTAAATCAACAAGTCGTTGGTAAAGGTAGAGGTAATGTAAAACAAGATTCTAAAGTTAGAATAAAAAAATATAACAATCAATTTAGAATAATTTTTAGATAAAAAATTAATTATTTTTATTTTAAATAATAAATTTTAATTGCTTAGAGATTGAGCAAAGGTTATTTCAAACAAAAAATCATTCAATGTTCTGTATGTTCTTTCAATTCTTTGTTAATTTATTTTTCACAAATTTATTATTTCCTCTAACCTAAGTTTTTTTTCAAAATATATATATATATATTGTGATTTCCTTCATCATGGCTGGGATGTTTGATTTTATCATTGACTTTAGTCCTTCTAAAAGGCAATGAAGGTTAAAAGTTAAAGCCAAGTTTTTGGTGTTCTATTTGTATGTTCTTCTAACTGAATATTTGTTGTGAGCTTCATTTGTCATCTTGATTGAGAGGATTGTTAATTTTCATGGAAGTCATAAGAATTTTGCATATTCATTTTTTGAGATTATTTCATCAAAGCTAGATATGTAGTAGCAATTATATAGAAGTTAAAGCATGTTATTGTTTTATGATTCTGGATAAGTACATGAGTTATAATTAAAATTATTCATTAATTGATGCTTTTAATAAGTGTATATCATTCACCATCCACATTTTTCCATGAAAATGATATGTTGTCAAATTTTTCTGTTATTTCCTTTAATTCTATAGTTTTGGAAACCATAATGAAGTTTTTAACTGGGTTGTCATTGATCTTTTTCTTTTATTGTGTGGAAGAGTTCTTATGTTTGGTTGATTAATAATCATAAAAAGATAGAAGATAAACTTGGAGTGTTGGATATAGGATTGTTATTTGACATTGTTTCTTAGGTTTGAGAGGAAAAGAATGAACAAGACTTGGTCAAAATAGCACAATAGGAGCAAAGCACTTTCTTTTGAGTCTTTAGTCACTACAACCAAAGAATTTTTGCCAAATTCACAAACTTAGTGAAAGGAGATTCTTTTACCAGTGTTCAAGGTAATGTATTCTCACTACTAAAATGTGGGGCTTCAGCAACATGGGAGTATGTTAGTGAAAGTTGTGAATATGCTATTAAAAATAGAGTAGCAATGTGGATCATGTTGAAAATTTCTTTATTAGAGATTCCTTAATCGATAAAATATCATGACAAGTATTAGCATACTAATTTATAGTAATTGAAGCCCGAAGCTCCTCATTAGAGATGTACACCTCATATAGCAACACATGACATAGCGATGAATGTCTGCAGTCATCAACGTAGCATACATTGCTAATTTTAGGCATGATTTAGCAAGACCGATTAGCAACATGTATCACATTAGTGACTTTGGAATTTCATTGACAAGCTTTACAATGCTAAGCATTCAAAATTTGAAATTTAGGTGAAACTTTTCGCCGAATTCACCAACAAAGAATATATTGCTATTTCATACTTTCACCAACATATAACGCAATGCTATATTATTTTGCCTCCCAAAAATAATTAAATTTCATAAATTCTGTCCCTCAATATTCTATACACATATTCCCTAAACAACAATTCAATAAATTCCTAATTCCATCAACAATTTATTCTAACCTCAATTCCACTAATATATTAAGAAATTATCTACATTCATTCCATACAACTAAAACAATTTCATGCCATCATTATTAAATGAAAATTAATACTATAAAAGTATAAAATTGCATAACTATTTCTTTAATTATACTGTCACATTCGTCTAAATTCAAAAGTATATTATGATACAACTATATATATAACTATATATATACCTTTAAGTGACTATTTTGAAAGTAATACGATGAAATATTTATTTTCTTACAAAATAATCAATAATTATTCATTAGTTTCAATACGTAAAAAAATGCACAATTTAAATATGAACTTCACTTTATTTTTATAATTACAATCATCAGATGCTATATTCAATAATAGTTCACGTACAATATAATAAATTTTATCTAAAAAATAAATATAATTGAAAAATTAATATTTATATTGACCACTATA